TAATTTAACTATCTCATCTTATTCTCCTGTTATCCTTTAGGTTACGAGTGGGCCGATCTCCTGAGATGATGGTTTGAAGCTTCTAAGCAACATGTATAACTACGCCAAAATACCCACTGGTGAATATAAAGTGTGTAGAAATTAAAAAACAATCCATTCCGAACTGCTGAACTCAAACTTAATGGCATATTGCGCCAACCGGTGATCCCGGTCATCATGTACGCAAAATACTATGAATGACGAAAGCGCTGACTGGTTTGAGTAACTAGCTCACCAAAATAATACAGTTGCTCAAACGATGAACAAAATCGGTAGTGGCCAGCATGCTTTTAAACCACACCGATACACGACCAGATGGGACGCAGAGGTGCGGGTGAAAACTCTCGACGGATAACCCCGTATGAAAGCAGGTCCACGAGAGACGGTTCCACGGATGACCGTATCACTTCACTGGTTCTTTCTTACCCTACTTCACACTGCATTGAATATGTTGTGCACCTGGTTCCTAAGTACTTCATCTCTACCTGCTTACTGTCTTACCCAGTAACTTATTCCTTAGCCCATAGTCTCGCTCTTAGTTGTGGTGCATTTCCTCTCTACCTCTATACTAAAAATGGGCTAACTATTGCACACATTCCTAATCGCCCTGTCTTTGATATCTGTTACAAGACTACGATGCACTGATTAAGTCGTGACTTTGCAGTGAATAGGCGTCTATTTATTTCTCTACCTAGCTGTTTAATTCCCTTTTTTCGACATAACTTGTTCGTGCATAGTCACGCAAGCCCTAAATATCCACATACAAGTGAAGGCTGAAAGGAATGCAACTGAGCTCACCCAGCATCTCAACCATCTGGCAGGCCAAAACACAAGTGGACTGGTTCATGTACATAAATAGACCTAGGAATGCCTAGACACCACGCTGTCTTAACTCCCAACGATGTGAATACTGTCCAAAGTATTCTGATAAAGCAACTTGAGTTTGATGATCCACTGGAGTTACTATAGTCTTTTCTTTATTTTTGCAACTCTCCAACTTACTACTCCTAAACAGCTCCAACTGTATTACACCAGTCTATTAAGTAAGATTGTGGAGTACTCATCTGATTTTGATTGGTGAGTCTGCTTCATCCTTTTCATACTCCGCCCCCACTCAAGAAACCGCCGCCATCATAGCACCACCAAGCTGTACCGAAAACAACCAAATGAGAATGCCTGCGAACTGGTACCATACGGCGAAAAAAGTCCCAAATGAAAACGTCAGCAACAACAGCGCTGTAAACACCCAAACCACTGACAGCCTCGCAGGCCTGAGCAAGTTGCAAGGTAAATATGATCCGTCCCTTTGTGGCATCAGTTTCTCGGTAACACCAGAAATATACTTTTAAAAATTCACTGAGGTATACGTAAGCTGCAAATCCAAAGTAAATCCATAAGGAATGACGGAAAATGGGATGTTAGTAAAATCATCTCCTCCTGATGAACACATACAAAGGGTGAAAAAGTGGGACGAAATCTGGGATTTGATCGCGAGTAAAATCTCTAACAGACACTTGTGTTTATCCATGGGTACTGGGTCATGTAAGATGGTGCAGTGAAATAAGTGCACAGTCAACTCGGACTTTGAACTCTGCAAGCGTGGAAGCACATATGACAGATTCCGGTAGGGTATTCCACGTTAGGCAAACGCGTACAGAAAACAAATTCCGACGGCATTCCAAACGGCTGTGTTACACAGCCAGCTAGAGATGGTGGTCTCGTAAATTGCTGTTGTGACTGCTTAGCAAGTGCCGACACCTGTGGTCCGGATCTCACAAAATCTGCTAACTCAAAATGAGGTCCCCGCGCAATCGCCGATACTGTCCGCTGAGGACCCCGAGCACTTGAAACCTTCATTTATACAACAAATTATGCAGACCCTTGACATTCTTGGTTGTCCAGCAATGAGGTATCTCCAAGGCGGTGAGATCTCTCCTCAGCCATGACTGCCAGACCTGTATTGCGTATTCCACATGTGGCCGAGAAAGTGGAGAGTGCATAGAGAGGAATAATCCAAATGAACCAAGAGCACGCGCGTCACGTGTGTGCGTGGATGGTCTTGACAACGACATCTGATTCACTAGCTGATGCCTCGTCCGCCAGCAATGTCCTTTTGACTGTCCCACCCAGTAGAGCTAATATATCGTACGTACATACGTTCTCGTTGCCTCGGCAATTTCCACGGGATATGCTGCACAGCAAATGTATTCGAAGAGTACAATGAACAATGATTTATGATCGCTGCGGCCCACTGGGACGCCGACGATCACTTCTCGACTATCAGTGCTTCTTTAGTGAACATCCGATCCAGTAGCGAAGGAATCGGGTGGGATTGTTGATGTGTCCATGCATTGGGTAACTGGAGACAAACTCTTGTAGATCGGCCTTAAACTGTTTTCCGGGAGCTGCTTGGGATTCCAGAGCGTAGATGTTGAAATCACCAGTAGTGAGAATATGACTGTAAGCTGTGTTTATCACCCGCCTTAGTGCGAATGCCAGATATTAGTCCATCTCGGGAATGGAAGATGGCGGGCAGTAAATGACAGCCACTAAGCGTGTCGTCCCCTTTGGAACGTAGACGGCATTAAAGGGAATCATGTACCGTGCTAACCGGATCCTGTATGAGCTCACATTGGAGGTCCTTGCGGAAGCACAAAGCCACCTCTCCACTTTTGCTAAGTCGGTCATGCCGAAGGATGGACATGCCTGGCAGTGCGATCTCCATGTCACTTATGTCAGGGCATAACCATGTCTCCGTTATAGCGATGAGGTCTCCGACTTTTGATTCTTGACGCAGCTGCATTTCGGAAAGTTTACTTATTAAGCCTTAAGGGTTCGTGTACAAACAGGAAACCTTCTCAGATGTCAGCAGATGTTGACTAGGAGAGCGTGAATGCGGTGGATTTGTGCCGACCGATGAGGCCGGCACTTAATCGTTTTTTAAACGAATTGCCAAAGCTCGAAAGGAATGCAATCTGTATTTTGTCTCACTTGCACTTGCGGTATGTAGTCCATCCGCAGCCTTCTCGATAGCTACGGGTCTTAGTGCACAGGTTTTTGAATCGCTGTTGTGGTTATACTGTATCGCGGGTGGTGTCGTTTTCGCGAGAACAGCGAGTGGATGCGGCTCTCTAACTGTTGTCTTCATTCGTTGTTTCGAAGGAAGTGTGGTGCGTAGCGACTGCCAGCTAAGGATTATATTGTTGTTGTGGCTGCACCGTTAGTTGCAGTATTCTTGGGCCACTGCCTCTGTAGTTTGGCGACATGGGTAACCGTGTAATCGAGTGAAGTATGACGTCGTTCCCACGGAGAGTTCCACGGATGTAACGCCATTGTTCTAGGCCACAGCGTAGGCTTCTTCGTTGCTGGTGATCGGTAGCTCGGGCACGCCATGAACGAAAACAATTCTTTTGCTATGCTCTGTGTGGTGGTCGTTTGAATTAGTTTTGTCCTGCTGGCGTTCGCTTCATGGAACATCCGGAAAGATGCGCACTCTACTGGTTTCAGTCCGCAGACGGTATGCCGACAAAAGCACCATCTCGACATCATCTGTTGATCCCAATGATACTCGCATTAGCGGGGGCTCCCATAATGATTCGAGGTTAGATGTCTAGTGATGCGCATTATGTTAGTCGGACCTAACTGGACAGTGCGATCTCCATGTTACTTATGTCAGTGCGTAACCATGTCTCTGGTTTAGCGATGAGCTCGCAGGCTTTCGATGCTTGACGCAGCCGCATTTCGGAAAGTTTACTCCGTATGCCTTGAGCGTTAGTGTACATATAGGGATGCCAAAAGTTGTTGACTAGAAGCACATGTATGATGTGGATTTGTGACGACCGATGACAGGCCGGCACCTAATCGTTTTTTGGGTGAATTTCCAAATCTTGATAGGAATGCAATCGGTTTTTTGTTTCACTTGCACCTGCGGCATATAGTCCATCGGCAGCCTTCTCGATAGCTATGGGTGTAATCGGGTGATTAAAGTTATAGTGCCCGTGAGGCCGCCACTGGTAGCTGACCAAGTAACAAGTAGGAGGAAATCAAGTGCCCAAATGCGCGTAGGGGAGCATGAGAGACCCACTGTGCGGTAGATGCACCTTGAGTGCATCACATACGCCCGTGCATCTGCCAGTATCCAGAGAGGCACAGGATTGAGAATGCGGGAGCGAGGATCTGCTTCGCCCGATTTTATCAATGGTTAACTCATCCTATCATGCTGTCGCCCAATGGCTTGTGGAAATTTTAGAGCCAGTAGGACAGCAAGTTACACACTACAGCCTTCGTGACATCTTTCATTTCATAGAAAGCATCAAAAACCGCAACATCGGTAAGAAAGTAACGTTTTTCTTGGCTGTTGTGTCGCTTTTTATCAACGTGCCACTTTTCGAGAAGATCGATTACCTTTGTTCCTACATAGAAGAAACAAAAACAAGTATATACATACCGTTGCGTGATTTGAAAAGCCTCCTTCTGCGCTGCACTTGGAACGTACAGTTCCTATTCAATGACACTTACAACCGACAAAAAGATGGTGTAGCTATGGGATCGCCATTGGGTCCGTTGTTAGTTGATGTCTCCATGGCGAAATTAGAGAATACCAAGTTACATGCGGAGATCATGGCCTTTGAATGTTACCACCGCTATATGGACGACATATTTATCGTGGCCGACCAGTCTGTTGACTTTGACGCTGTTATTGGCCGTTTTAATCGGGCCCACGGATCATTGCAGTTTACCTAGGAAAAAGAATTGAACGATCAGTTGCCGTTTCTTGATGTGCTGTTAACTAGAAGGGCAGACGGCTCGATCCAACGGCAGGTCTACAGGAAGAAAACCTGGAGTGGCCAATATACGAACTTTCAGTTTCGTTTCATTGAGATATATGCGAAACCTAATTCGCTGCCTAACCACAAGGGCCCGCAGGATCTGTTCTGAAGACAAGTTGGATAATGAGTTGACGTTAATTCAGAATTTGCTGCGCGAAAACGGATATCCTGATCGTTTCATTTTTAGGAACATGCAAAATAAGCTCGACCTGTTGCAGATTCAGACAGCAGAGAAAAAGAACTTTTTATACGACTACCCTTCAAGGAAGATGCCGCTGCTGAGCGTGTAACTAGAAGCCTTTCAACAGCTGTCAAGTCAACTTTCCCAGCAGCTAAGCTTAGGTGTACCTTTTCAACCGAGCCACTCATTCGTATTCACAACAAAGACAAGTTACCGACGCTGATCGCTTCTATGGTAATTTATCAGTTCGACTGCGCCTGTAGCGCCACTTACATCGGTTGAACGGCGCGGCAACTGTCGAAGTACATTAAAGAGCACCTACCACACTGGTTGCGTCGAGGCGGTACTGGGGCTATAACTAGCTCTGTTATGGCTTATCTTGTTGATAACGGGCATGAGATTAACCCAATCAGTGTCTTTCGAATACTCCAGTCGAAAGACCTGCGCCTCCGCACCCTTGCTACTGTCGAGGCGATCAGCATTCGGTTGTATCAACCGCTTTTGTGTGCAAAAAAGCTGATCGAAGCTGTTAAACTACCTTGGCCAGCCAATACGGATCCTTCTGAGAGCAACTGTAATTGTGCAACTGCACCTCTGTCCTAGTTTTCCGTTTGTTACTGGTTCATGCCTTTGGTCAGCAAGTGATTAATCTTATTTGAACTGATCGTTAGTAAACTTTTACACCCATTGCTATTTCACTCATATGGTTGTACGGGTCTGAAAATGAATCATCGAAAACAATTGTTTACCTTCGGTCTTTTGTTCTTGAGTTCCATATTTATTACACGCGAGTTGAATGTGAGAAACACACTTAAGCTACTGTGCCGTAATAGACAAAATCTGCGAAAAAGGAGACACTAAACATTACAGAACACAAAAATCTAGAAAAGAAATATCCCAACTTAAAGTGATGGAAGGTGATTTAGAACACAGCGGATAGCAGCATGGTACCAGCAGTCTTTAGATGCAGAGTGGTGAGAACTTACTGATAGGTCTGCATCACTGGATAGTTCATCTTCCTCGTCCAAAAAGTTTTCCAAAGTGCGATCGATTTCGGACATCAAGAGAGCTGATAGTGGAAGAGTAGAATGGATATACATGGTTAAAATATGAAGTAAGAAAAAAGGAAAAGAAAGGCACCAACAGTACGCCGGTACGCAATACCGAGGTGTTGCTGCCAAGGAACCACCACCGGTCGTACGTAGACTAAGGATGCTGGGAGGGTCGCCCGGTCCATAAGCAGGCCCGAACCCGAGCCCTCAAATTACAAGACAGGCTTGTGATCCTTAAGGCCACAGGCCGGCAGAAGTAGTAGGTACACGGACTAGTTCCGTTGACATACAGATAGCTGTGGGTATAAAATATCGGAAAAAAGCGATATGGTGGAAGGATAGGGATATACACTCCAATGAAAGGGAAAATAATTGACTATATGATTATTAGTCCGCTAGCCTTCCTGACACGTTTGTTGTCCTCATCTAATTGCATTGTCTGTTTACTGTGTGTGTGTTAAGGGAATGTCATGTGGCGTGCCAAAACCATGTACACGCGGCGCTGACGCGTCAAAAAGTAAAATTTCCACCAGAGCACATCCGCGTGTCATTCACACCACAACGAATCAGGACTTGAGTGCATACGCTAGCCAAACCAAACTGATGCTCGATGTCTTAAATTCATCGTACTACAAATTCGCGTGTGTAAAACGCTGCGTTCAACGTTGACTGAATCAGTAAAGGCACTGTCGCCAAATGAAGCGTGGCACAATACCACAGGATTACTCCTTTGAGTGGTAAGATTGATCATCATACATTCAACCGGTTAGACACGCTCCATCAGACCTCTCTTCACAGCTACCCCGTGCGTGGGAAATAATAACCAGGCGGTCGCTCGTTCGTTTCGAATAGAGGTGGTATAACAACTTGGTATTGAGTTAAAAGTGGGGCAAGAATGAAAAGGCGCGGGGCGACGAAAGTCGCAAAGTCAAGGCTTTATGTACCCAAAAGGGTACTTTTTCAACATTTTGCAATAACTACTATGGATGGATTGAAATAGTAAAGTTATCGATGGAAAAATTGGCATCAAGTTCATATATATATATATATATATATATATATATATAATATATATATATATATATATATATATATATATATATATATATATATATAAAATTTCCGTTGAAGGAGCGATCATGGGCGTTTGCTTTCTGTTGAAGCTAGTGTCAATCGGGGCGATGGTTCTCTAAGTTACAATAGCGCCTTTGATAAATGTGCTCGTAGCACGTGCAACACCACAGAGTGTTTTAAAAATTACCGCACTACAGCGCTAATGATAGTGAAATAGTATAACTGACGAAAAGGTCAATACTATCCGGTGAAAACTGTTGAATCTGCGGAAGATACAGTAAAAACGGTGTTCCAATGAAATGCCAACGACAGATTTAAAGGCCCCCGCCTAAGTAGATGCTGTTGGGTCGTTATTGATTGATACGCATGCGATATCCAGTTGTTTGGGGCCGTATACTGATCACAAGTGTGTTCGTATAGCGCCTAGGTTTTTCACTAGGTCTAGTAATCTTTTCCTTTAGCTCAAATGTGAACCATTTGTGCTTGTAAACGGCAAAACTGTTGGACAAGCCGATGGTAGGATATTGAATTTTATTCCGAATCACTGCCGCTGCAATCTGTCGCATCTAGCAAATCCGACTTGCATTCTGTTTGTCCACTACTTTGTACGTACCTGCTCGGTGATTCTTAGTCTCTCAACCCGCAGTCACATTCCGGAAATATACCGAGATCGCGATCCGCAAACAGCTACTGAAGTCCGCGCTAATCTAGTGATCTTTCGTCACCTATCTTGCGTCCGGCAACAAGTCAGTTGATGTAGTTATGTGGAGCTAGGCCAACACCCGTGTGACTTTGAGCACCAACCCTAGCGTATGTATTCTGAGTGCAGCTTCGCTGCGCATATGGTGAAGATTCGGTTGCTTTTGCATTGAAAGGAAATTGAACGGGCTTGAGCTATTTCGTAGCTCCTTTACGCCTTCATTTTGATTTAGCACCTACGTTCTACGCGTAACTCAAGATCCTAGGAAAATTTGTCGTTTAAAATGGTCATCTACCGGAAATTCAGCGATGGGAGCACCAACGTATATCCGTCGTTGCTGCTGTTTTTTATTTGCAAAGGGCTCGCTAAAAACGAACCTAGCGGCGCGGACGTCATCACTCCAACAGCGATGTGATGTCGATCAACTTGGCAACAATCCGCCCAATCCACGGTCACTTTCGCAGCAAAACAAGGTATTAATGAGCCAACGAAAGGAGAAAGAGAACACCCATACAGTTGTGAAGAAATTCGCCAAGGCGACGAGCTGAAGTTAAAAAGGACGATTTCCGAACCCGAGTCCGAACACCCATATACACTCAGTAGCAAGGAAACAAGAAATGTCTAAAGACCCCATTAACCAACTTATGTCAATCGAATAGCTGCTAAATGACGGCGACGAAATCCTGATCTACATTCGGATAATGGGACCAGACAAAACACAAAAAGCAAATGAACTTATAGAAACTTTGGAGTCGACCATTACCATTGCAGCCGATAATCAAAGTAACCTGTTGACGATTCGACAAGACGAAACCACCCTATTTATAATGGGTTCCGAAAGTAACATCAGGGCTTGCTCTGAGATGAGGACAAACGATGCCAAAAGCAAAGGGTAACGATGGCTTTCGCTGTTAGGTTTGCCCGCTTTGCTCATTCAATGCCATCCTAGAGACAACACAACAGTGTACGCGAACACTTGAATCTGATAAGTCGTCGTCAGGCCTCTAGGAGTAGATGTAGATCGAAGTATGCTGGAGGACACAAGTCAATAATCTGCGCCCTGTTTTGCTTGTATTTGCATAAATACCGTCAGTTAAATCACGAAGACAGACTCCGGGAGTTGTACAGCTAGATCGGAGGCTACAAACATCCGACCGATGCTAGAAGTCCATATTGGTGGGAAGAATGGAATCGGTCAATCACCTAACGTTCAGCAAATCCGCTGAGATATGGGTATGCGGATTCTGGTGGAACGCATGGATTGGCCATAAGGTGCTCCGAATGAAGATCATCATCGCTGTAAAGCGGTAACAGCTGATATAAAACATAACGTCACAGAGTTCCCAACAAAACTGACTTATCAGCATCAAAGTAACACCTTAAACAAGTAAACGTGATGCACTGCGAAAGAGTCACTATGCGGACGAGAGTCAAAGTAGAAAGAAAAGGGGACGACAACAAGATACAGGAAAGAGTTCTGCGCCACGATGGTTACAGATGGAACATAGATCACAGTCGTGACTGGTCAACGATTAGGAGGGACACCGCAGAAACAGTGGGTCAAAATCACTTAATGCGCCGTGCGTGAATTCATGCCCAACCTTATTTTACTGTGAGTAATGAGTGATGATATACCACCTCCAAATTCCGATTGTAGTGAGTGCTCTGAAAACAGCTGACGGCCTATTGCCAGGGAGTCAGCTGATACTGATGGCTAAAGGGATACCCCGGCAGCTGATTCAAGACGTTCGATATAATGTTGGTGAATCAGGCAAGGCGGATATGAATGTAATCCGTTCGTCCAGTGAGACTTCCGTATAGCTCAGAAAACGGCCAAATCATTAAGTTGGACCACTGAATTGACGTGAGCGTGGTATCGTTGTTGAGCGTTGTACGCAACACGAGATAAGGTAGAATGCAACGGTCTCGCATGGATCGTCTAACATACTTCCGCTAGATGGTGTAAAATTGCATCAAATTTCGTTTCAAAAGATGATTTCCGAAAAATACAAAACCAACAGAAATTAGAAACCAATGAACAGAAATGCCGGAATAGCTCCATAAAATAGACACACGACCACGTATCATGCAGACAATACAGCTGAATCTACAGATCCATGTAGAGGCACACTAACTGTTGTAAGATTGGTTGCAAAAAACGGTAACGGACTGTTGATTCGGCTAATATGCAACCAGTTCGGAACGTAGTGCGGTGCTTCCAAAATACTAGAATGAGCTAAAAATATTGTCAACACTATTGGTTCTAAACGACTTATTTAGAAGATGATGAATTCATGTGAAGACCGAGTTTTCAATGATTACCAAGTCACTGTATTCGGAATACACGATATTAGAGATTAAGCGGGCAGGTCGGTTAAAAAAGCGAGGTGGCATCACGTAAAAGAGGGAACATTAAACCAATGAACTAATAGATAGAGGAGAATGAAGTTCAAAGTCTGGACGGGAGGACATAACTAAAACAAGGAGATTCTATAGGATACAAGTACACAAGCCGTAGTAACTAAGCGGAATGATTGCTTGCTTCGTGTTGGACACAATGGTGGTGAAGTACACGGCAGGATAACAACATTTGGAAATTTTCAGTGCGGCGATCCACTAGAATGTACGCGCTGAAGTTGGAAGGATCTAGTCGGCTTGATTCAAGTCACAAAAATGGCGATAAGTAATTACTATTGTAAGACAGACGTAAGAACACAAACGATTAACAACTCTGTCATAATCGAAAGGTACCTAAACACCGATGTGACCGATTGAGAAGCCTCCCACTCATGAAGACGACTCACACTAACCCTAATCGAGTTTCTTGGAATGTTTCCTGCTACTCTTTTGTCGAACCACTGATTGGCAACCTAGGTTCTTTCACCGAGACGGTGTTCAACTCCAGGCCAACGAAGGTTTATGGGTTAGATGAAATGTTCGATCTGCACAAGAAATGACTCAGATAACGATGGTCGTAAATCAGACTCCTTAAAAAGGATGCATGACGTCTCCCTTACACTTTAGACAGTGGAAGCAACATTTTACTGAAAGTGTTAAGACTCCGTTGAAAGAAGGGGCAATGTTGTAGTAGATATGTGGAGGAATGAGAAGCGTGGTTCTCACATGGGTAAACAGTCGCCGGATGGATGGGTGTCGAATGACAAGGACCGCGAAGCAAGGGATAAGAGCTCGGCAGATGCGGGTGATTTAAGTAACCTCCGACTTCACTCCATAG